ATCCATTGTCATGGGACCCAGGGCCCTGACTGCCATGGGCTCAAGTTGCTCCTCTCCTAAGACCAGCCCACCCACTGCCTGGAACGATGGAGCATATGTAAATTCAAGAACTGATAAAAGGAAGCTTGCAATTCCTACCACAAACATGTCCATCCAAACAGCCCCAGTTACAACAGAGATGCATGGCTTTGGCTTATCAAAACAAGGTTTTAGCCTGCTCGTGTCCTACTCAGTTGCAGATCCCATTATTTATCATTTGTCGTCATTGGCAACAAAGCCAACTAGAGAATATAATTTTTCAAGAGGAATCTGTATTTCTGATACAGGTAAAGAGCTATGAATACTAGACCACTAAATCTTGATACGCAAGAAGAATCCTAATCCCTCAAAAAACGAAGTGCTTATGCTACATGGTATAACTTCTCTACATTCAATAGTCAAAGATCAGCTTCAGATTTAAAAAATGTACCTACCTAATGAAATTTAAATGGGAGGTACATGGTAGGGTGAATAAAAAGTCACTTCTTTTTTTTCTATCTCCTTCCAGGTTTGATTCTTATTCTTTGCCAACTCTGACGTTCATTTTCGGAGCCCCAGATGCGGAGGTTGTGGCAATTGACGCGTCCTGAGACATGGAAGGTAGCCTACAGGAAGGTGAACACAGTACAGTAGCTGCAGCAGATCTTTGATGCCGTTGCACTGTCGACGCAAGCATACTCGAGCGAACCTGGCAAGAGCTAGAATGTCGTCTTGATATTCTCCGGGTGACAAAGGGCGCTCATATCGAAATGGAATAATGACAATGAGGGATCATGAATTTTCTGAGATGCCCTTTTCAAAACGAGCAAACCCCATCAAAATATGTGTTTTCATTCAGTATTCATAGTGATTCAAAGTTGTAAAGGTTCATGTGATCACCCAATATAATAAATTTGTAAACATAGTTCTGGATACATAGACAAAAACACTTCGGAAACGTAAAGGAAAATCTCCCATATTGCTGGTTTTGGCTAAATAATTTTTTCATAATCTGTTGAGTTTCAGATAATTTGGCAGCAATTACTACTCCTGCTCCTGGATGAAAAAAAAAACATCAGAAAAGCTCAAATCTAGTAATATGAAATGCTACGTTACTCAAAACAGTTTCACAGCCTTAGTATGGTAAGCTACCTCCCATTTTTCCATGGCAGATAAAATTCCAAACCCTGCAGAATACTAACCTACAAAAAAATTGCAAATGGTCAACAAGCTTCTCTTGCACACTTCGAATGAGTCAGTCTCCTCTGACACTTGAAACAGCAAATCTAATATGGGACAAATTCATACAAGACACTTTGGACATTGGAAGAAAAGGGGGTAATCTTTGAGGCCCTTTGCGATTCCATTGTAGCAATTCCTAAATTGATGTTCCATAGTGGCATCTTACACAAAAACCTTATCTTCAATTATGACTCAGTTTCAGTAATGCAGAAAAATATGCAAAGAAAACTCACCTTGAGGAAGGATGTGAGCCAGAAATCCACATTCATGGTCTGCTCTCTCTTCTTCAGGTGATACATACGCATCTCCCGCTCATCAATGGGCATGGTGAGAGCTCGATGGAGGGTATCAGCCACATCATCCAATTCATAGGGATTAACGAGCAGGGCCTCGTGCATTGTTTCCCCAGCCCCAGCAAAAGGAGACAGGATCAGCAC